GGAGGGTAGTTGCGCGCGGGGGAAGGGTAGCTGCGCGCGCGGGGAGGGTAGCTGCGCGCGGGAAGGGTAGCTGCGCGATCCTGTAGTTGGCACCTGTGGTGGGCATCAGAACGTGGAGAATCTAGTACGAGGGTGGAATCTGTACGTGGGGAATCATTATGGGGAAATCCTGTATGGGGTGGAATCTACATGTGGGGAATCCTTACGGTAGGGATCATGTAGAGGGAATTCTTAAGGGGAATCCAGTATGGGGGGAAACTTCGAATGACGTCGCGAAATTTAAATGCCGCTATTCGCAAAACCCACCGACTGATATTGTTGTGACTATGACATGACGGTGACCTCCAACTGACATAAATCGGCAGAAAAATTACAATGAAAAAATGACTTTAGAAATACCTTGAAAATTTTAAAGGGCTGTATTCGGAAAAACTTGGTACTTATTTTGACGTTACTATGACATGACGATAACCTTTCCGTGACCTCAAACTAACATGAGTATTGTCACTCAGATTCCTACAGATCGGTAGAAATAAGCGTTTGAAAAAATGACCTTCTAATGAGCATGAGATATTTAAATGTCTCTATTCGGAACACCCACATATTGGTATTGTTGTGACTATGGCATAACGGTGGCCTGTGCGTGACCTCCAACTGATATAAATTTTGTCACTCAGATTCCTGCAGATCGGCAGAAAAATGCGTTTGAAAAAATTACTTTCGAAATAACTTCAAAAATTTGAAGGTCTCTACTCCGAAAACAGTAATCACGGCAGCCAAATCAACTCACAGCACCTTAAAGTAATCACCTTACATTAATAAAATCCTGAGAAAAAAAAATTACAATGCTTGCAATAATTATAAACACTCAATTCAACTATCCAGAGTGCAATGAGAAGTCCAGAATGGATAAAACAACCCAAAGAACATTGAAAATAAATGTAACCCCTGAAGACAAGAGACTCCTAACCCAATAGCTCTTAAAATATACAAACACACCTAACAGAAAAAATAAGTGAAAAAAATTAATACTACAAATTACAAAAGTTTTAATAAAGATTACTACCACTACAAAAGAGAAACTATGAAAAGCCCACCACATGAAGAAACCAATCCCTCTCAACATTGATGTTAAATAAGTATTTCATGGGACATAAACGCAATTAAAGCATAAAGCACATCAGAGGAAACCCTATTAATTTGGAATCATACCATTCTTCTCAAAACCAAACAGAGCCCAAAAGACAACCCTCCCCTCCAAGAGCATCCACCTTACTTATATTCCAAACTCTCCAAGGTCCCCCTAAGTTCTCAAGAGAATGAAAACATACAATGAATCCCAGACCCTCACACACCAACCAAAAACCTAGTCCTGAAAAGGTCAGGAGTCCAGTGGAAAACTAAAATATTGAAAACACCTAAGACATTAAAACAATAACTCTAAGACCTCTTCGGGTTACCAACAATGCATCAAGAACCAAAGCAATCACAGCTGGTTAACAAACCACATGAGTTTGGAAATTGCTATACTCTCCCAATAACTCTGAAACTAGCTTCAAACCTGCAGACATAAAAACAAAAAAATTTGGAACAAATATCAAGAGACTAGATACCCCTCTGAGGGCTCAAGAAATCTTTAACCCTACTGCCTTGAAAAGGCTCGAGAGTCTCCAAAGCACAATATAAAAAAAGTTACCAGCACCACATAATATACCCAAAATCCCACTAATAACCCAATAGCTCTTTAATAACCAAATACACTAAACAGAAAAAAATAAGTGAAAGATCTACTATTACAAATTATAAAAGTTTTAATAAAGATTACTACCACTACAAAATATGAAAACCCCACCACATGAAGAAACAGACCCTTCCCAAGGCAATAACCACACTGAAGTTAAGTAAGTATTTCATGGGACATGGAACCAATTAAAGGTTAAGGCACTTCAGAGGAAACCTGATTAGTTTGGAATCATACCATTCCTCTCAAAAACAAATAGAACCCACAAGACAACCCACCCCTCCCAAGGCATCCACCTTACTTGTATTCTAAACTGTATAAGAACCAGGCTTCATGGCATCCAATTACCAGTACTCTCACATTAGGCGATAATTAACATTAATGTCCCGTTAGGGAGTCAACATACATGATGATTGGAGACGTCCGAGTTGAACAGAAGCCAGAGACAGACACACACACACATTACAACTGAATTTACACGAAGGTAGACACATTTTTCACTACCTGCGAAGTTTCATGGCACACGCCTGAAAAGTCAAAGATATAACACTCATCTGCAAGCGTGACGGCAGAGATACTCTGAGACAGAGTCGACTTCTGAAAATATAATCTTAGCTTGGAAGGTGAAGCAGGCAATCCATCTCGCAAATCTGCGTACAATTAGTTGTGTTACTTCGAAATCAACCTGCGAGAACACACGTACCTTAACCTAAGATTCGGTGGCTAATAGCACACCTGACAAGCACTCACTGGCCGGAGTTGGTAAATGTCCTCCTAACCTCACTTTTTTTCTGCATTGTATTCTATGGAGTAGCACTGAATCACAAAATTATTACGTCTTAAATGGTACACCCTGCATATAACTTAGTCAAAGAAAATTTTACTTGGCCAGTGACAAACATCCTCTTTCAGTGTGTTGCATAAATATGTTTTAGACTTCTTAGTAGAAATACAGGTCGTAACAGAGACTACAATGTATCGATAAATAAGTCCCAAGAGATCTAGTTTAGTAAACATTCATTAGTGTACTAGTGTACCAGCCATTTATGACTTCACATATAATATATTGCACATAACCATTTTTTATTGTTTCACCATATACACTCAACTTGTTTACAATATGCACTTAACCTGTTAATCCATTATAATGGCCTAGGATAGAGGATTGCAATATTAATGGTACAGGGATTGAACTCTGGTCATCCAGTCCATAGTCACACACATTTTACTAAACTACCCTGTTCAATAAATATCATATGTAATGATGTTACACTTTTTAATGCAACTTTAGACTATGAAACTTCACTTATCCTTGTCTAATACTTAAAATAATTTGAAAACTTTGCAATCCCAATTAAGAAGTCAAAAAAATAATGGCTATTTCATTCCAAAGTACATACCTTATTCAGTAGTTGCTTCTTCACAGTCGTTCCAACAAGACTGGCAGTGGTCAGGAGATTCTAAGCTTGGCTGAAATACCAAATGATGTCAAAGTTTTCCCCAGCTTTCAAGGCACTTGTGGCTTATTATTTTCACACAACCTGTGATCATCTTCTATTGCCAATCAGAGTCATGAAACAACTACAGTTGAGAAAGCATAACTAAATAACCACATCAGTTATTAAGAATTTGTACTCACTCAGAGTAAACTAAAATAAAATTACCATAGAAATGAGGACATTTTTTCCTTAACTTAACACAGAACAATCCAAGTAAAAGAACATAAATATTCAGGGATAAACATATCTTAAATTCACATATGTCTAAATGATTGTGTGTTCTATGCTATTTCATATTTAGAAAATAACTTCAAAATATATTTCAATTTATTTCATTTCATCAAGACAAGATCATTAAATCTGGTATTTGGTAAATAGTACAACAGGAGCCAAGTCTTATAAATTCATTATAAAGTCTCCTAAAAGAACCAAATGATAGACCACAATGTTAGGAGATGTCTCTATGACAACAGGATGGTCAGCACGACTGGCGATGGAATAATGTGCCCTGCAGAATGCAGAATCGTCTAATTCTCCGGAACCCTGGTTCCACTGTCAACATTTTGGTAAGAACCTGAGTACCACACACAAATCTGAAGATGGCTGTCTTCTGGGATGTTGTACCTTGCAATCATTGGAGCTTACTGCCTGCGTCTTCATGTGATGGCAGAGAGCGCCTCTCAAATGTCAGCAAGATCTACTTTGAGTGTGAAAGATGTGTATCATATATATCATTTCGATTACTTCATATGAAATTGAATAACATAAAAACAAAGATAAAATATAAAACAGTGCTCATATCACAAACATGTCATCAAAGTACTGTACACACATATAATTTATTTCAATAAACTGACAGTGAATGAACCTCAAAATAAAAATAGACTTCCACTTACACATTTATCTGGATGGATTACATACGTCTTTGCTTTAAACACCCTGTATACATGACACAGCATTTGTAAAAGAATACAAGTGTTAGGTCTGCATATTTTGGTAGAAAATGTTAAAACTGAAATTAATTTTGGTTCTCTGAAGACGTGTGGTGCCTTAAGGGAACAGCAGGTATCTATCTGAAATCCATGTAAAGACAATGGTTTCTGTCTGGATGTTTCTGCAAATCTGCGCAAGTAATGGGGAACGGCACGGGTCTTGACGGATGGCGATGCAATCATTTTACATAATGAGAACTTTTAATTCAAGTCCATGCAAGGGCGATGGCCACAAATCAAGATACAACAGGGAAAATACGTGAGACTGGCACGCAGAGAAGAAAATTTCCATGGCCTAATTCTGGATGTCTTGTTTACAGTAACAGTTTCTGTCAAATACTGACAGAAATCACAAATCTTGTTTTCTGATCGGCGCTGACAATTTTCATCAAACAGGAAGACGAGTGTTAAGAAATTTGTCGGCCACACATGGCGCAGGGTCTGTGGGTTGAGAAATCATCATATTACTATCACAGAGAAAAACTTTCCTCACATGGTACTTTTAAAATAAGTTAAAATTTGACACACACACTCCATGAAGCCTCAGTCAATTAAGAACCATTTCATAGGTGCCACTTCTTATTTCATAAAATTTACAGTTTATTTGAAAAAAAAAATTGCATTATTTACAAAATAATCTTGTCTTGTTTACTTCATATCACAAACCAAGGTACAGCACTGAAACTTTACAATATACAAGAAACAGAACAGAATTTTGCAAGAAATGAGAAAGACGCAGCAGTCGGCTTGACGCCTGCAGTTCTTTAGCATTGAAACCAAAACTTGACTATCAAATTTTACATTTCAAATTACTTTGCATGATTTGCATGACTTCAAAACCTAAGTCTCGCCATCTCTCTGCTAGCGTACAGCTTATTCCTGAGTATACATAAAATTATAGGCTATCGATTTAACTACAAACTGAGTAAGCGAGTCTGGTTCCTCCCACAAGTGAAGTTACACAACACAACCAATTCCAAACTGAATGTTGATTTTTCAACGACTTGAAATAATGGAGTAAAAAGGCTTTAAAAAATTTCTGATACAATTCAATCATCTTAAACTGCAAAAGAAATTAAGTCTTTCAGTGTCTGTCTCCCAAATATACTATAAATACAAAACCTGCTGTCAAAAATTCCTTTCTTAACTTACATGTAGGACATGTCACTAAAATACATTTCTCGAGTTGCCTCAGTCACATAATCAGCTGACTGGTTCATCATCATAACACGTGTTCTCACAACTCCTATTTTTTTAAATTAGTGGCAAGTGTTGACAACCCTTTCAACATTGAATTGGTACGCTCAACACGTGACATCAGCATATATATATATTAAACGATTTCAATATACAAAAAATAAATGTAATCGGTATATAATCCGTTATATACCTGAAGTCACGACTAAAATTAGGGAGATTTCTTTTATAAAGGATTTATATAATTAACACTAACACTTTAATTTGATCATTCTTAGCACTTAGAGTGAAACACGTCTTCCTATGTTAACTGGTCAGGACCACACAGTTCTTCCTTAAAATCCAAGAACTTTATAAGATGATCCCACTGAGCAGGAAGAAGTTGGGTCCACGCACATGCTACAGCACTCCCGTATGAATATCGTCTTCACGTCTTGTACAATTTTGATGCCTTCGAGTCACATATTACGTACAAGTGCTGAAATGTATTCAAATTTTGTGACTGAGACGTGAAGACGTAACTCCGCTGTGGTGGTCGGCCAGCTACTCTTAATTCCTGTAAACCAAACATACCAATTCCAAATAACATCAGTGTAGATATCATAAGGACTTAAAAAGTAAATTCTGCCAAATAAAAAATGTAATTCAAGATGTAAAGTTACGTACTGCTATCATGTATCACCTCAGCGCTCGACATTCCCAAAATTGAAGAAAACTCACTAATTAAGACGAGGGTTCGGTGGCGGTCGTGTTGTCCGGAATCCTGAAAAACTAAGAAACGTTGTAATGTCCTGCTCCGGAAGGAATTTTGCGGTTTGTGAAGAGAGATGTCCACTCGTCACTTTCTGCATCGCACAGCTTGATATATCAGCCGTATCCTAAACATATAAAACGCTAACTATTAAAACTACAAAACAATTTTGTTATAGTACAATTCACGCGCCTGTCTCGTAATCACATTAACCATCAGACATTCTGTCACTGATCTAATGTTTTTTTTTTCCAGATGACGAAATATTTACAGCCAAGTTTCGTGATAATGCGAAGTATTCAGATCACAATTTGAAGAGCTTTGTTCGACACTTAGTAGACTCCAAAACGTTCATTTTTTAAAGACAGAAAGTCGCTCCCCGTTTCACCAAAAATAAATAATGTTAAAAAGATGCAATCCCTAACAACTACAAAGAGTTTTCACATATTTTCTTCCAAATCCGAATGCTCCCGATAACAAAAGCAACATTAAACTTACCACAAATTAAAACCAATGAAAACCGATTTTAACCAAATTTTCACAGAAATGGAAATCAATCATAATCTGGTACTGCTTAAATTTATATTTCTTTAAAAGTGTATAATTTTGTGCAACTCATTTTATTTCTATAATCAAACACATGACATACGTATGCCAGTATTACTCACCTGCAGGTGTCATAAATCAGGTTTGATACAGATTGGAAGCTTCATAGAATGCTTTCAACACATCCTTCGTTACGTCGAGCCAAACAAGACGATACCAATTTTGGAAGAATCTTCACGTAAAATGTTTAGATTCTGCATTGCAAATACAGACATTTTTAAAGCACAAATATAAATCGCCCAAAGCAAGATTGTATCTTACACAAATTTATTTCCACGTTGAAATTAGTGCCTTAATTTACTTCAATGTTTAAAATAACATTACCTTTTACATTTTATTCTTTTCATTCTTATTTACACACATGTACATCTTATTTCTGAATACGTTCCAAGCGTAAACAATTATGTACAAACATTTTTAATACTCTAAACAACTTTATCTTATTCAACACAGATATATTTATCAAAATAAAAATACGTTACGTCTGGCAGCTACAAATCAGCACAAAGAATATATTTCTTAGTTACACAATATATCTTTCTTTCAGTTCAGTGATATTTAATGGTAACTCTGAGATTCGCATACACCAGGCACATAAATACATAACAATTAAATGGTTGCTCGGATGTCATCAAAATATCATACATTTAAAGAAACCGTGATCGTATTTGAGACATGAGCTGTGTTAAGTATATGACGCAATTTCCTTTACAATCGCAGACAGTTTACAATGCATAAAAGAACAAAATTTCAAAGGATATTTTTTACCTCCAAATGATGTAAAAATATCACAAACATTTTTTAATTGGCTTAAGAAACTCATAAAGGAACGAGTATCGTATGTGTTTAAAATATATCACTGTCAAGTCGTTTAAATTTTAGTTATAATTTGAATTTTATAATATTTACTAATTATTTTCAGAGAAACTGTATTATAACAACCGATATATATATCTTCACCATTACCAGTCTTTCACTTTGGTATGCACAAGTAATAATAAATAGATTCCCTGGCTCGCTATACTCCAGTTTAGTGTAAAAAGAAACACGGTTTTTACGTCAACAAAACCTCTCAAAGTTCCTAATATAATCAACTTGAAGGTACGGCGATTTCATTCCACAAGGGGAAAAATATAACCTTAGTACTTACAAGAATTTGGTGTGGAATGTATAAACAGATTCTCACGTACATCTGTAAACGCCAGAGCGTCACAAGTTTATTTCTAACGTACGAATAATATTTAAGAATTCAGTCCGTACCGCAAAGAAAACACACAACATTTCACCGCTAAGAAGAAGATAAACTCGGTGTATATTGTGAAAATCATGTTCTAACAGTTCAAAGCCGGCCAAATTAATTAAACAAAATACGCTTCATATCGTAACTTATAGTTGTCAAATTACGTACATTCAGTTTCACAGATGTTGAGAATTTCACATTTGATTTAAATAAAGAAATGTTCCAATGACACCAACTAATATTTTTTGCGCGAGGGCCTCAGAAGGGCCAGTTATCAAAACACTGACTATTATGTTACCTTCGTGCATTCTACGCGGACATCCAACCTTCAAACCGAATGATAACAATAATACCATTAACATTATCTAATAAACACACTACATATTTTGAATTACTGATTAAAATTTCATGTTATAAAACACTTTAGAGGCATTTCTGTGCCCGGTACAAAGTATATTCGTAGAGGAACTCTACGCGACCCTTCACTGTCGCCATATTGATTTATCTTACTCCCCTAGAACACAAAGTGGGAAAAAAAACCAGTAATGAGCGGAGTCCTTTGTCGCAATGAAACTTTCTCGAGGCAACTAATTAACAGAAATATTTCACAGAAAACACGCGAGACATTCATTCTCTGGAATGAACGATATTGACAAAAAATCTTTCAAATTTAAACTCGTAATCTGCAATAGGACATAAGTTTCCGTAAGTGCGTATGTAAATGACTAGGTTTCGTCCGATCATCACGGGACTGTAATACTAATGCAATACTTCTTCTGATTTTAATGAGAGTTAATTAATATTCGGACATAGAAACGTTTAATGGCTCCAAACGAAACAAACTTATTCACTCCAAGTGTTCTTATGTATGCATATTACAAAGATAAAGATTTCTATCTGATTACACAACACGCCATTAGACTGCATTCTGTATAACAAAAAGTTCTATCCAATTTCTATTCGGCACGATTAAATCCACGACTACCCGCATTTAGTCCAGATACCTACATCTCAGTATTTCTGACCAAAAATAATGTCCGAAACGGGACTCGACCCACGGGCAGTTTTATTAAATTACACCTACATGCCATTAAGCTATAGGATTTAATATAAAACACCTTCAAATCTGGTAACATTCATAAACCTACAGCTGCTGATGGGATTTAGTATTACATCGGAAAATGCTTACTATCCCATTTCCCCATTGAGTGAGAGTATTTCGCTTGAAGCTTATATATACACCTTATTTACATATGGGTACTAAATCGTGTTGCTGAGGAGATAACATGTAATTACGATAACTTAATCGGCCTAACTATTTAGCCTGAAAACCAAAGCAATTTCACACACATGAGCCAAATGATTTATCTAAAATGATATTATTAAAATGAGTAATATTTATTTGTCTATATTAAATAACAGATATTATTAACCTTCCCAGCGCAAGACAAACAAAACCTTATGGACCGTATAAATCTGTCTGCGTCACGCGCTTATCCTAGGATACAGACAGCCCGCACGACCAGGGGTCATCGATGCAACAACGATAACATTGTCGGAACACTTTCGCGCAACAACGGAAGGAGGCCGTTGTTGAGGTACGTGATGTGACTTAAAGAAGCCCTCTTAACTGTTAAGTATACCCCAAAGAGAACGCCTTTAAAATACAGTATTCTGATGATATTTTATGATGTTTTAGAGTTTCTTTTTATGTGTATAGCCTCTGAGCTAGACACAGACATATTTTTCCTTAAAAAAAACATAATGCATCTTCCGAAACGTTGTTTTGTTATTTTATATTTTAAGAGGTGTGCAGTGTCCATATGGATCAATTTTCAACAAAATTGTCTTTAATTCTGTAATAATATTAACTTCAAATTTACTTTTCTCATAACCTGAGACTTGTTCATAGACTATTTCCTTACGTATTTAGGCTACTGGTTTCGTTACGACGGAAACAATTAACTTTTTTCCAAGTCAAGGTAATTCTGTTTACAGAACAGACCTGTTTTCCAACACAAATTCACGATTTTAGCAATACAACCATACGTAAAACGAATAATTTACAAAAAGCAGTCAATTCTTTATAGGACACGAACCAACAAAATCATTTCTGTCATGTACAAAGAAATATTTGTCTCTACTTGATACCAGCATCACATTCCTCTTCTTCTTCTTTATCGATTTGAAAATATTCCACCATCCATTGAACCATAACTTAGAAATTAATGGAAGATAAATTGATATGATTTCAATTACGAAAAACAAAGGCAAAATTATCCTTTCTACATCCCCTGAGTTACACATTTAAAACAAAAGAGATGAGAAATTGATGACTCTGTATTCCAAAGTCAGAGTAACACTTCTAAGATGATATCACAGTCCACTAGATGGTGGAATATCATATAAGATGAGTGTAATTAGTGGAATAAATCGATATTTATCGTATTTGATAATGAAATTCCCTCAACTACTTTATATTTCTTGACGGTCGTGTCTGTAATTCATATTTCTTTTCCATCCTTTAAAAAAAATTATTTCTACCCATAAAATAAGCCAGTTAAATGATGTTCAGGATAAAATTTTTTTAAGAAAATATGAGGTTACTGGTCGTTACAGCAGGTGATAATAATAGATATCAATGTCCTATAAAGAGTTAATTCTTATACAAGACAATTTTCGTTTTAATATATAACAGCTTACGTTGACTAATATTCGAAAACAAAAAATATTTTTAGAACTTTAATGCTCTTAGGGCTTCATGCCTCATTCTTTGGTTAATTTCGTCACATCATACAACGAAGTGAAGTATTCTCTAAGCTCCTAACGAGAAGAATTTTGACAGTGCTAAATCTCTACGATACAAAACTAACTGGATTATCATTCCGCACCTGAGTTTTAAAAAATGTCATTTAGTTCAAATTTACAGTAGTTTCATTAGGGACAGTGTCTCATTTAAAATTTCCATTAGACACTGTTCTTGCTACAAACATGAACACAGAAGAGAATTTTCACACTTAAAGAATACGGCAAACACCAGAATTCATGAAACAAATACACTGTAAATTTGAACTAACATTCACGTTAAGAAATTCCGTTTTGAATAAATACGCGTACTGAGGGCACGACACACCGCAGACGTTGAAAAATCGGGCATTAGACGAACCAGACGAGGAATCCTCTGCTAATTCATAGCAAATTAGCATCAAGTACCTCAGCGCTGTATTTACATTAAAACGGTAAATTCAAACTTTGATTTATATCAGGTATTACCGCTGTTTCATAATTAAAAGTACTTTTTATATGACTCAAAATCGTCGGTTAATTGAGATTAAACTCTAATATAAATGTAAAAATGTTATAATTAAGAAGAATGGTATCTACGTACACTTGATTATTAATGAAATCAACCGTACGTTTACAAAAATTATTTATATCGAACATATATCACTTTATCTGCACTGTACTTTTAGGGAGAAACATTCAATGCTCGTGGAAATATCCTACCGCGATTAGAGAATGTTTATGTTCCTTCCCGGTGGCTTACCTGCAGCTTCTGGCGAAGAAGTTTTAAGGTAATTGATTCCAGGAATATTTTAGAAAAAAATAAATGACGAGGAGGAAACAACATGTCGATTGTGGCCATCTTGACTGAGATTTTTTGTTTCACGACGGTGAAAATATTGATTGTGGTCTTTTAGATTGTGATACTCTGTGGTCTTATAGATGGTCATCAAAGTCAATGATGGAAGTGCCCGTTTAATCTTCAGGGTAAGACCACAGAGCATCACAGACCAGAAGATTTCAATCAGCATCTTCGTGAGTACAAGCCTTAAGCCTCAGATACACATAAACATGTCGTGAATAATATTTTGCTGCTGGCTGTAAATAAACTATGTGTGTTCATTTTCTTGTTCGACGATTCTGAATACCACATTTAAACTTCAGGGAGTAGTCCAATTTCCATTCTGCTATTTTGGTATTCCTCTCAATATATTACGCATCTCTGTAAGGGTATTTCAAATTAAAATACTACAGAGGTCTACTTCGTAGCCTTGATGAAATTCCTACCCTTTCAGCTTTAATTACGCAATTTAGTGGAAATTTTCATGTCACGTGATCTTCTTCTGTTTACTGAGACGTATTTACACTTCACAGTTTTTATAAAATTTCCGATAAGCGTGAAGAAATCTCATAGTCAGAAAACTGTCACGTAGTTACAGGATTTTACGACAATTATAACCATTTAGAAGGAACCAATCAAATTGGTGAACCAAGCCTTCGCGTAAGACAGGAGCTAGTTACTATTCCGAGCCACCTCAATCCAGCTTACTCTCTCATATAGCATTAAAAATTCATTTAATATTCTCATACCATTTGTGTTCATGTGTTCATGGCAGTATTACATACTAAAACTTTCCGCGTATTTTACTTTATTAATTTTCTTCCCCTAATATAATTGTGCTCCGTATCAGTCTCCAGATGTAATACAATTCGGAGATAGTAGCATCTGAGGTTCTCACGGCGGTAAGTCACACCCGATGATGGACGTAGCAAGGCCCTCTAGAACGTTAATAATCTTTTACCAGACTACACGGCGCTACAACCCAGAAGACAGCAGTCTACAACACGAAGATTATTTTCTTTTGGGGCATCTTGCCGTGCAAAGTGGTGAGAAACGACCGACGTTTTGGAGGTACTTACTCTCGCCTACAGGCCCTAGAACTTTTACAACATCCCAGAAATCAGTCATCATCGTTCCAGCCGCCGTGAGAACCTGATATCATGGCAGTAACTCCCGGCTCCCGCTTCGTAATCAGGCACCCGGTTCACCACTAACCCAGCATTGAGGTCTCTACGGCAGAGGCCCTCATCACAGACTACTGCCGAACTCGCTGGACCTACGCCTGTCGATGTGTTTCAGGTATGTTTCCGAGTAGATGCTGCGTGTCCTCTCGTCGTAACGGAGAGAGTGACGGCGCACGTCCAGGGCGTCAAGATCCGACGGTGGGCGTCGGCACAAACTGCAGAAGGCGCACTGAAGAGTGTTCTTGAAAGCCTCCCTGAAATCCCTGTTGAAATACGCGTAGATGAGGGGATTCAGCGTTGAATTGAAGTAGCCGATCCAGAAGACCACAGAAACCACTATGTCCGGGCAGGGACACGCCTGCCCGCAAAGCGTCGTACTCACGTACCACAAAAAGAAGGGCAGCCAACACAGGATGAATGTCCCCATGATAATGCCCAACGTCCTCGCAGCTTTGTGTTCACGCTTCATCTTGATGATATTCCGGTCTTTGGTAGGGGTGGAGTGGAGGTCTCCGTGATGTACCTCGTGCATGGTTAATGTTTTTGAGGATCCTCCACTGCTACTTAGGACGTCACCATTACTGTTATTGTACTCTCTACTGTTTCTGTGTTGGTTCATCAACATGGCGTTCCCTATCCTCGAATGAAGCTGTTTTTCTTGTCTATTCGCCTCTTTAAATATGGCCAAATACGTGAACACCATAATGGTACATGGGATCCAAAATGAGATTGACGAGGAAACAATTACATAAACCTTATTCACTTTGAACTCGCAAAGATCAGGGTTCTTTAACCTAAACAACTGATTTTCTTCAGTAGTGTACCAACCTAGAAATATGGGAACGAAAGCTATGATAGCTGGAAAAATCCACGTGTTCAAGAGCATAAATGCTACGACTCGCTTCGTCATGTTTATGGGATATTTGAGTGGCTTCACGATGGCGTAATACCTGTCCACACTTATACAACACAGATGAAGAATGGAAGCTGTTGAGAAGTACACGTCCAGAGAGTTCCACACGTCACACATGAAATATCCGAACATCCAGCGTCCAGTTAGTTGAACACTTGCATTGAACGTCATCGCAACCATAGCAACAAGCATGTCTGCCAGTGCCAGAGACACCACAAAGTAGTTCGTAATTATGCGTAATTTCCGATGCCTCATGACACTTACTATAACTAGCAAGTTGCCGAAGATGGCAGCTATGATGATGAATCCCATTGCACCTGCCTTCAAGATCAGAGCCAACACGTCTGTCCATTCCTGTTCCTCATCTGCTAATGGTGGCACAGACGACGTTATGTTGTCCAATATGGCGTCCAAAAGTGACGTCGGAATTGTGGCTGTAGTGTCAGCGAGTGACGACGTCGAAGAGGAAGATGTGTGAAGAAGGCGATGTCCACCAGATTGATCAGCGATCTTAACGTTAGGAATGGACGCCATCCCATAATACACCTCAAGATTATTACAGTCCTTTTGCCCTAGAAGCACGTTAAATTTGTCCTTGATAATACATCTTCTGGATACCAGTAGTTTAAAGTTCTTGGAACACAAAATTAAAAAACGTAGTGGACAAACATCATCTCGTCCGCTTGCATATCACGCTGATCATCACGGAGATAAAGGTGTTGGGAAGGAAACGACATCTTTTCTCCCATCTGCTTCCACACCATCTCACTTAATCTCTGGCAATCTGGAAACAAGCAGAGATAAATTGTGAAATTAATAACTTGCGGATCTTGTACATCGCAGTCAAACTGATACGACGCACGTCATACAGCACGCAAGTACATAAAAAATGCGTGCAAAATGTTAGACGGAACATCTCAGTTATTCGGAAGTTTGAAATTTTTCTGACGACGGCGGGACGCACTGTGCCAGATTGATTGCTTTTTCTTTCTTTTTTTTCTATTTTATCCTTCACGAAGATGTTATCAAAACCAGGTGGTCTCAGTCAAAGTTTGACTAACATTAGCTTCATCAGAGATTTGGTTCTTGTCTCCGCAATGTTTTAGTTTATTTAATAACTCGACGATGGGCAGAGTCTAAAAAATATAATCATCCTCAACATTATCTACGAAGTCAGATCCGTCACATCTCGAACACTGGCTAACCGTACAATGCCCCCAACTTTTAACCAGAAGAGACAAACGTCTACTTTCCAAAACGGGGTTTCCTCTCAGAGCACGCGGATAATGGACAAAGTCCATAAATTCTGTAATATTAATTGAAATATATTATCATGAGAACCATTTAGGAATTTGATAAATCTCATAATTACCTTTGGAACTGAAAGCATAAATAAGAGGTTATTAATACGGATTTTAAAGAAACAAGATGATATTCTATGAAATTCGTTTAAGTGGTTAGGGACAGAGACCGATTTCGGGTCCTTATTCAGCTTCAGTAACAGATTAGGAATTTCCTGACAAACTCAGTGAATATCCGATCCTCAAAGAGGACTCCTCTCCACGAAATGAGTTAACCAGCTTCTTGAAATTATCCACTAAAGTGTAGCACAGTATAAAGGAGAAGATACAGCTGGTTTCTTATCGCAACCCTTTAAAGCCGAAGTTCGAATACACATCGTTTCATATAAAGTTTAAATTGTGAGTTGTGAGTGAGATTAAATTCTATCAGAACTCGTCCTTCGTAAAAGAGAGTGCTTATCGGATTCTGTATGTCTTTCTTACTTCCTAAAGGACAAGAACTTTGTATACTTCGGAATAACAAGAAATAGGTATAACTTTAAACAGTGAACTGCAGATTTAAAAAGGCAATTGCATGTATAGTCTACGACTGCAATCTTGAGACTTGCACCCCACTTTCTCACCCAATAAGTCTCAAGATTACAGTCGTGGACTATAACAGTAGAAACAAATTGGGTATTGTACTCGTATGTGCATTTCGATAATTACGTATGCGGACAGGAATGTGTGTCATTAAATTTTCGTTTAGGAGGAATCTCTGTGTGAGGTTTTGCTGTGCCAAAAAGTATCTTTCCTACGTAAACACATGCATCGAACTCTCCTCAGCGTGTGTTTACGTAGCAGGTAATTTATTTTCCTGAATTTTCATGTTTATGCTTTAATTCAAGAGGTGTAATGGATCAGTACAATGTTCACGTAACCGCTTATTTGATTTCTAGTACCAAATTAGCGATTTCTACGCGACATCTCACTGTACAGGCTAGCTTCTCACATCACCATTATGCACAACTGTAATAAAGCGACATGCCAAAATCTCCAAACATTAAATGTAAAAATTCCTCCTATCACAAGAATGGTCACGAAATACTCCTATATGGACTATACAAAAAATATAAGGTTTATCTTTATCTTAAGACAAGACGCTAATAAGCGAAAGTCTCAATACCTCAGAAAGTGTTGAAATAATACAAGGACTTTCCGATATATTTAATTACTTCACAAACACTGTTCAAAACACAAACACAGAACACATGATCACTCGTACTATTTGTGTAATAATCGCACTGCGTCTATTTTATAGGTTTAGAGGTATTTCTATTGACACAAGAGAATATTCACTGTCTACTGCAAAATACGATAATTCATCTGAAATCAGCAAAAATTAATTTTTTGAGATGCCTGACATCACCTAAGTAAAACTGGCACAACTGTATCTTATTTAACCGCGCAGTTCCAACTGCCGATCGTAGCCTGTTTTAAGTGTCTCATGCGGGAATTCGCCTTCACCGACTGAATATCGCAAAAACGTCTCATTCAGGAGAATTCAGGGCCGAGACTGAGACCGTGTTCACCTTTAACCCACATTTGACGCAGCGCCATTGCGTTCGGTGTCCTCCCTGGACCAACAAAGAACGGGAGACTCCCTTGTTAGTTCGTTCATGCTGTAACACAGAGGCCTCACATACTTCTGCGTCCGCTGGGGATATCTGACGG